TTAGAAGTAATCGAATAAGTTAGGATTAGAAGATATGATTCAAGAAGTATGATTCAATGAGAAAAGTTTAGAAAGTCGTAACTAGAGGGGTTGAAGAATCCAGAAGATTAGGATTTGGGAAAATACAAAGAATAAATGCACCGGCGCCATTGCGAACGATTTTGAGCCATGTCATTCAAGGTCTCTAGCCATCGATTATTATCATCTCGCGGACCCCAACCAGGCAGTAGACAATTACCGACATGGCTAAGTCCACTCGTCAATGACTTCATGGATTTGTGCCATGTTTTGGTCTGGCCGCCCCTAACTTTCTTCTCCAACCTACTCCTACACTACAAAACATCTCGTCGCGGCAGCCGGTGGTTGGGCATACGCAACACATGTCCCAACCACCTCAACTGATAAAGTTTCAATACTTCATCTATTGATCTGCCATTCTTACATAGCACCCGATTCCTAATAACAGCGTTGCTCACTCGGGTGTCCCAGGATACACGAGCAATGCTTCGAAGACACCTATGATCGAAAACCAGTAACCTACGCATCCATATAGTAGGATGGAGCGAACTACTGCGCAGTACACTCGTCCTTTGGTAAGCAAACGGATATCTCGCCTACGCCGTAGATGACGCTGGCTGGTAAAAGCCAGTCGAGCTGTTTGTATCCGAGCTGAGATTTTGTCAGTCACCAGGACATCGGCACCGAAGAGACTCACGAGATAAGTGAGGGAGTCTAAACGCCCAACTGCTTCACTCCCTATCACTAGTTCAGGTGTCAATGTGACCCAACCTTCAAGTAACATTTTGCATTTTGAGGGGTAAAACAGCATCCCGAACATGCTTGCATTGTTGCTTAGGGAGGTCAGAAGACTCTGCATTTTTTAAGCGTCTTCACCGAATAGAATTATGTCATCAGCATATTCTAAGTCAAGAAGCGTGTCACCTGGTGAAAGGTCCACTCCTGAAGGGTCAGACGATTCCAATTTTAATTCTAGATGCATATCTACGACAAAGTTATACAAGACTGGAGAGAGTAGACAGCCCTGACGAACACCATTTGATGTAACTAATTCCGGTGGCAGTTCTCTATAAGCTCTTACTCGACCAGTGGTGTTCGAGTAGAGAGCTTGTATAAGGTTAGTGTACTTCTCTGGTGCACCTTTTGATGACAGACAATGCCACAGAGTCTCACGATCCACAGAGTTAAATACCGCCTTAAGGTCGAGAAATACTACGATTGCGGGACTGAACACGTGTCTTTGTTCTAGTACCTTTCGTAGTGTGAAGATGTGGTCTATACAGCGACTTCCAGGTCGAAAACCAGACTGGTTTTCCGAGTCTGCTCTTCCCGAGCTCCGGTTAGGCGTCTAAGTATAATCGAGGCTAACAATTTAGAAACCATATTAGTTAGACTGATTCTCCTGTGATTGTCACAAGAGGAATTTCGTCCTTTCTTATAGACTGGGACAATCACTGATTGAGGCCATTCAGATGAGATTACATCTAGTCCCCAGATTCTACCTAAAAGTTCAGTCAGTCTAACTGTTAAAACTTGTTCACCATCCTTAAAATTCTCAGGGATCAATCTATCAGGTCCTGCTGCTCTCCCTCGTTTCAGATTTCCTATAGCCTTTTCAACCTCATAAAGTTTCGGATGGCATACGTCGACTTGCCGTTCAGGATGACTGTTAATCGTGGGCAACCGAAGTGTGGCTGAAGGCCAGTTGAACTAATCCAGTGTTCTGCCTATCGATCCAACCTTCAGGATTGAGAATGAATAGTAAGACCATCCTTTTACGAGACAGTCTCACTCACATTCGGATTCCTAATACCGGTCTCATTGACAAGTCGGAACAACTCTCTGCTGTCCCCTATTACCGCTGCGTTTCCATCGCTCTCGATTTCGCCACCCACCACTGCTCGAATCATTGAAAAGGCTTTTTATCAGCTTGCGCCTAAGCTGACTTCACACTTCATCATGTTCACAGCCAGGTGGAATGAGTTCACGAGCGCATATCAGTGCGTTGTACGCTACTGAAATCCATGTCTTCTCCCTAACCTTTTGGTTTACCTTACCAGCAAATAACACTGCTGTTTCCACAGCCATTTCGATATCATTCCAAGCTGCCTCAGGGTGGGCCTCATTTACTACATAGCCACTTACCTGTTTTTCTAGTTGTTCCTGAAATACATTCTTCGCCCTATTATCATTAGGTAAAAGCCTAAGAGGCTTTCTTACGGCGTCTTTCCTACGCCCAGTAAGCTTCAAACAGATACGAGCTCGCACTAGGGCATGATCTGAGTCTAAACAAGCGCTCCAGAATGAGAGATAGTCGACCATCGAACCTCTCCATCGGTGGCTGATTGCGATATAATTTAGTTGGGTCCAACGTTGAGACGACTTTGTGGGTCGCCAGGTCAACAGATGCTTTTCATTATGCCTAAAGTTAGTGTTTGGTAAGAATAGGCAGTTGTCTGAGCATACTTGCAACAGACGGTCACCATTGTCTGTTCTCTCAGCCGCGACACCATAACATCCACCAATGTGTCTTTCCTGCTCACTCAGTCTACCTACTTGAGCGTCAAAATCACTAGCCATTATTACTATGTCAGAGTGCCTAACTTTTTGGAGGAGATCCGAATGCTTTCTGTAAAACTCATCTTTAACCTCGTCTGAACTGCAGTCAGTGGGGGCATAGGCAGATACGACGAAGAGACGACGGCGAGTGTCCCTATCTTTACGAGTCCTTACTGTCCCGTTCAGTCGGACAGCGCACAATCGACTATCTACTGGGATCCAGTCAAGGAGAGATTGTTCAGCTCTACGACTCAATGCTATGCCTACGCCAGCAAGACCCCGGGAAGCAGCATCAGGGCTTTCAGATACACGAAGAGTAAATCGAGCTACTTCTTTATTTTGACAAGGTGAAATCAGATTAATAATTTTACTTGGATCCCGTATGCGCGTTTCCGAGATGCAGCATACATCGATGGCACGAGATTCTAAAGTCCTAGCTAAGAAAGCCTGTTGCCCTATTTGACACAATGTCCGTACAATAAATGCTCCAACATGCAGCGTAGAACGAGGTTTCAAGAGACCAGGAATAGTTTTACGGGAACTCACATCGTTTGCATTAGCGGTGCAGTCAGATAAGAGAATGTGAGTGGAGTTAGTTGTGGAGAGAAGAGAAGTATGTGTGGGTGTAGGAAGGATTTGATTTCGACCAATTTGGTCCCGTGTGCTGTTACGGGTATGAGGGCGGTTGTCACTTCCAGGCTGCCCACACCGTGGAAGGTTGTTTCTTGAGGGACCTGAAAAGGAAGATAGATTAGTGTTGGTCTTAGAGACCTGGGTGTGTAACCGCAGAGCCGAGGGGACAACTGCTTGAGGCCGGTCACGTACGGCCTTTTATTAAAGGATTTCTGAGTATTAGCTCCGCTCTTGAAAGCCCTTAGTGGGCACCCTTACCGCCGGAGACGGAAATCCGTAAGATAGGGTGAGGTGTGACATTTTCAGGGTCGACCTTTTCCGACCCTTCCTTCTTGTGAGAAGGCAGCATCGCTGCAGATGCTGGTTGTCCGAGGGAAATACCTTACTGCTGCCACACCTATCTGCAGTCAGCAGTACGACTTCGCCCTCAGACCTCGGGTAGCTTCTTTTAGTCTCATCGTTCTCCAGTCGACCTGTCTGGCATGGTAGGACCTGCAGGAACATATGTTCCAGCCAGTATAGCTCGGTTGGGTCCTCACGATAGGCAAGCCCGACCACCACGTCAAGGTAGCAGCTACGGTCGGGTTGACACAGGTGCATTCACTCTTTGTGTTCTCTCAAATTCTAACCCTCTGAAATCCTCACATTCTCTATCCTTCTCTTTCTAACTCTATCTCACTGAGTTATACCCTTATCTTCTCGATTACTTCTAATACTTTTACTATTGCTATCACTCTTGGATTTGAACTGACAGTTGCGTCTCTATGCTGATGTGGTATGGCAACCTGAATTGATGTACTTACGTATGAAGTTCTGTGTTGTATCTGTCCGTGTGTCAGTAGTTGTAGACTACCGGGTTGGTGTCTGTTTTAATGTTCAGTATAGACCCAAATTCAGTAGTACAGTATTAAGTCTTCTGACTAGTTCCTTCATATTATCATTTATCCAGGGAAATAGCATCGTTTTTTTCGACATAGTCATCGTATTTGGTTTAGTCAATTTTAACTCACTCTGACATGTTTTTCATCATACATAGTTTACTCTGTGATTTATCTGCTATGTAATTATGAAATATGCTTAGGTCATTGCTGTACTGAATTTAATTTTCTGTGATAATTCATTTCATTATCCATTCAAACAAATATTTTAATGTGGTGATTTCATCTCTTTTATTTTTATCCCATAGGATTAATAGTATGCCGCTTTGTTGAAAGTTACATCAACCACAGTAATAAAACGTTGGGGGGTAGTTCTACAGTAGTAATATAAATTTGTCTTAAGAATTACAAATGTTGATATGAGTAGTGTAATCTTAATAGTACTGTTCATGTCGTATGAATAATAGTCCTACATTAAAGGGATATTGTAAAATAACAACATTCGATAGAGCTTTAAATAATGGCTTTTACTTTGAATGAAAATACTTAGTTTTTGCAGAAAAATATTCACTAATTTATTGGAGCAGCATATTGATCTTCACTAATGTCTAACTTTGTTTGTCATCCTCCTAAATAACTTTCTTTAACTTGACTAGACGATTTCTTTTTCTCATCTCCTTAAAGTTCACAGTATTGGAAAATCAAATTACATCAATTCTATTCGCTAACAAACAAATTGTTATATGTAAATTATCAATTGTTTATTAAAGACCTTTCTGCTTATTAACATTTTATGCTTTGTTTTGTTAATGATTAAAACCTCTTAATATATCAGTTAACTCTACAATATAATATATTCATTAATCGTTTGGTAATGTACATGATTGTGTTTATTTTTACAAATCAATATAGGACGATTATGAACATGTCTCCACCTTAAGTAGACGTTTAATTGATGGTATCACTTCCAAAATTCAACATGTTACCCTCAATGGTGATCCGATTCAACGTTATCCAGGCTGTGTGAACTTTAGTTTTGCATGTATAGAAGGTGAAAGCTTACTTATGGCTCTTAAAAATGTTGCTCTATCATCTGGAAGGTGATTGTAATTTTTTTAATAAGCCTTTTCAAATCATATTAATCTTTCTTGTCTAACCTATACAAACTGCCTTAGAGATATCTGCCTAACTTAGTGTTTACCTTTTTAGTTTTAAAATGATGATTGATTTATTCTAATAAAATATAAAAAATATCATATCTTGTATTGGGACCTAAGACTTACAAGTATTAAAACGCTGACCAGTTTCCCTAGAATCATTCTACCTAATACATCCCAGTTGTCTCAGTTACTTATAAATCTTGGCTACACGTCAGACTCGTGCTTATGAGTGCTAGGTTGGACAAATGTTGATTGCACAAACTGTATGAATAACTCAGCGATAAATACTTAACTAAACGTTTCGCTCTTGTAACATTTGGAACGCACACCGTTTAGCAGTGGTTTTGTTACGTTGGTTTATGCACTGGATTCTACAAACATTGGGTAATGATTTTGAAACTAAACCATTATATTTTCTTTTCCATAGTCCAAGTTTTTTTCTGACTTATCCAACAAATGTTACTCAGATTTTAGTGTACTAGTGAGTTAGCGCTTAGCAATTAAATATGGAACTTTTTAATCAGTAACTTGTTTGGCATGCAACAATAATGTTTACTGCATCCCACTAAAAGAGTAATTGACAGGTGCATTTTTATTTATTCCTAACTGGTAATTATATATATATATATATATATATATATATATATATATATATATATATATATAATCACGTGAACCACAACTAGGTAATCCGCAGCTACCGAACTACACTCGAAAACGTCTTCAGGACTGTTAGCTTATGTCGTTATTTATTACTTTTGGAGAATTTCCTATTAGTTTCGTATATATCTTAATATTCCTCATACCTTGACCATCAATCTTTAAAGCGTCAGAAAGCTGTATTAGTTGTTCTTTAGTGTATGCTCATATTAATTACGTAATGGCTGAGCTAACGCAACTGACTAATCGAATGCTGATTTTTAGTTTGATTTAATATCACACTGTAAAAGTTTGAAATTTTACAGTAGCACACCGAAAACCTGCGTAGATCTAGAAATTCCATCTCTTCATTCGAAATTACCGTTTTTTCCGTAGTGGAGGTCATTTGTCAGTTACACATCTGGTCTCGTTGTATAGTATCATTAGCTTTTAGAAATCTAAGTATAATATGTTGCGACGCATGATGTCTTGGAGTTGATATTGGTATATGCGTTTTCCAAATGAGGAACCGGATACCTTAGAGAAAAGATGGGGAGTGAGGAAGAAAGCTTATTTGACTAAGCCAACTCATATGTATATTCGCTCATATATATATATATATATATATATATATATATATATATATATTCATTCGGAAACAGGGCCTATCAGTGGTATGTGTTTAATCCCTCGTTAAAGTTTCATGTCACAACCATTCATGTGCGTTTGACATCTTGGCGATTGTTGGTTAGCTCTCTGCATCATGAGCTACAATGTAAATGGGGAGTTCTTGCCTTAGTATTTGCGCAGTTCAAGTGTCCTCTTGCTTACTTGTCCTAGTGTAGTCGTTCATTTGGCTTTGTCTGAAGTGAAATAAATCAGTATGCATAAGGTTGAAATACGGAGGCCAATAATACTACTCAGCATCCCAAACGGATTTAGTTGAAGAAGATCAAATATATGACCTAGTGTTTGAAAATCCAATTTCTATACTCCACCATACATTTAAGGTCAAAAGGAAAAAGGGTTATAATCAAGTTTTCATGATGGATGTTTTTGATCTAATTCCTTTTCAACAATTTATTTTCACTGACTTTTAATAAAGTCAGTGTGTCTGGAGATTGATTGAACATATTTTCCAATGAATCGTTTTGTTTATGATTAAGCTTTGATTTGTAATCTTTGTATTATGTTAATTTTATTTCAGTGCATGTACATCTGCTTCACTAGAGCCATCTTATGTTTTAAGAGCAATAGGGACTGAAGAGGATTTAGCACATTCTAGTATTCGATTTGGTATCGGACGATTTACTACTGAAGAAGAAGTTGATTTTACAGTCGCTGAACTAATTAAACATGTCCAGAGGCTCCGTGAAATGAGGTTCGTTATTTAGTTCTTTCAAAATTGCACTTTGAGAGTATGATATATTGATACATCTAAATCCCTCATCATTTTAAATTTTCCTTAAATGTTGACCCACTTTAGATACTGGACTCAATCTTACTGTGTATTTTGAAAATACTGGAACGTCATTATTATCAGAAAGTGATCTTTCCTATTACTGATCATACTCCCACTATCTCTACCACTATGGAATTTGTATCGACAATTGCATCTCTGTGCTACCATGGTGTGGCAACTTGAACTGATGTACGTACGTACGAAGTTCCATGTTTTAAACGACTGACTGATTATCAGCAAGTAAAGAAAATCACTTCTAGATTGCTGAATTCCATACATATACAGGAACTTATTGTATGTTAATAACTCGTTTAATTGAGAAAATTCCTGTAAATTAAGCGTCCTTGACCAGACTTTTACGTTATGAATATGAATAATGTTTATTCATGTTCCCCAAATCTATAAAATGTTAACAATCAAACTTCTGAGTTAGTAATTTATCTACTGATAGTTTCCTGCGCGTAACTTAATTATGTTCAAGATCATCTCAGAAAAGGTCAAGAAGAAAATTGTTGATATACCATAGATTCTTCAGTTATGATACGAACCCATAAATACTGTTGTCCCAATATTTGATGAATTTTAAAATAAATAATATAAAATTAAAGTTCAGAGTCGAAATTTAAGACACTATTCATTGTTTCCCATGGCCGTTGGTAAATGAATTTTCCGATATACATATACTCTTTCCTAAAGCTTCTCAATGTTACCTTATACACACTCCTCAATGTGTTTTAAATTTTAGTTTGGCTTTAGAAATCTGACCGGCTTTTTATATTTTTCTCATTTTCACGCACATTAATATTACTTCGTTTAAAATAACTTTCAGTATGGTCTGTAGTTTCAACAATGATTTGGACTGTTTTATTTAAAACTAGTTTTGTCATCTGTGTATAACAAGACTTTGTTTCTTACCTTATAAACCAATTATTCAGATTGAATGTAAGAAGATTTGATGGATTTATCAACATATACCTAAACAAATATACTTGTATATGCATAAATGTTTATCTAGATAGTACTTTCAGAGATTGATTTTGTTCGAATTCTTTATCGATATTGCAAGAAATCGTAATATTGGTTAAGCATACAGCAACGGTCTATGGGATTCACCATGGTACGTCGTGATTTACGAGTTTATTTAACAGATCTTCGGTTCTTGATATTTTCGCATTAGTTATGCATGAGGTTTCCAAAAATTCACTTATTAACATAATTATCTATCCATTTCAACCAATTCTCTATTCACTCTATTTAAAGATTATACTAAATAAATGAGTTTTTTCAGAAGTTATATTAATCATATGAAGAAATGTAAACTATATCCTAGAACAATGGCCTATCGCATAATATCCTCGACTTTCAACAGTTGGATTTCAGATTTAAACAATGAACTACTACTACTTTTAGTCCTAGTGCCTAGTTTGTATTTGTAATCGTCATACCTAAAGTATATCTGAAGGTGTATGAACTAACCAGTAATTGTTAGTTGTTTTTCGTCTGTTGATTTTCGAATATTTGAGTGTTTCTGGATTCAAACTGCCGTTGCCTCTTCGTCGTATCTCCCTATGCTTCCACTGACTGCAGTTCAGACGACATGAAGGATAAGTTTTATAGAAACGTCTCTAAACTTCTCCAAAATGTTACGCGCTCTGATAATGTAATAATGGCTCGTAATTTTAACACTCAAGTAAGTAGACTGAGTGAAAAGGAAAGACGCCTGGGTGGATCTTATGGTGTCGTTGCTGAAAGAATAGAGGCGACCGTCTGCTGCAACTGTGCTCAGATAACCGCCTATTTCTAACAACCACTAACTTTAAGCATAAGGTAAAACACCTTTTGACCTGGAGACCTCCAGAGCCTACCCAAAGATGGAACCAACTAGATTACATCGCTATAAGCCACCGATGGAGAAGTTCGATAGACGACTATCCCTCATTCTGGAGCACTTGTTTAGACTCAGACCATGCTCTAGTGCGAGCACGTATTTCTTTGAGGCTTACTGGACACAAGAAAAAAAGTTAACCCCTTAGGGTTGTCCCACAATACTTGAGCAGTGCTTTGGAGGCACCTATGATCGAAGATAAGCAATCTACGAATATTTTCTACTCTCACCGGCCATGTTTCGCATCCATATAGTAGGACGGAGCGAACTACTGCGCAGTATACGTCCTTTGGTAAGCAAACGGATTTCTCGCCTGTGCCATAAGTGAAGCAGGTCGGCAACAGACAATCGAGCCTTCTGTACCCGTACTGAGATTTCGTCAGTCACCAGGTTATCAGCACTGATCAAACTCCCCAGATAAGTGAGGCGGTCTACACGCCCAACTGCTTCATTCCCTATCACTATCTCAGGTGCTGATGCGACCCAATCTTGAAGCAACATTTTGCATTTCAAGGGGTAAAACAGCATCCTGAATATGGTTGCATTGTTGCTTAGGGTAGTCAGAAGACTCTGCATTTTGTCAGCGTCTTCACCGATTAAGTCTATGTCATCGGAATATTGTAAGTCAATAAGCGAGCCTCCTAGTAGAAGGTCTACCCCTGTAAATTCAGACGAAGTTAAAGTTATGTCTAGCAGCATGTCTATAACAAAATTGAACAAGAATGGGGAAGGTGGACATTGCTGACGCACACTACTTAAAGTACAGAATTCCGATGACAGCTCGCCATAAGCTCTCACTCGACCAGTGGTGTTCGAGTAGAGAGCTTGTATAAGGTTAATATACTTCTCTGGTACACCTTTTGATGGAATGGCGCAGGGGCATCCACTCTTTGTGTTCTCTCAAATTCTAACCTGAATTTCTCATCATCTCTATCTTTCTCTTTTTAAATTTACCTCACTGAATTATACTTCTTGAATAACATCTTCGAACTTTAATCTTTCCGATTATTTCTAATACTTTTACTACGTCAATTACAATAGTATTTGAATTGATAATTATAACTGTGTGCTGACGTAGTATGGCAACTTGAACTGATGTAACTGACTGACTGACTCTGGATGCAAATTTGTAAAAATGTCTTTTGCTATCTTATACGAAAAGAAAGCTAATCTTGAATATATCCAATGTAGTGTGATGTAAGTTTTCAGTTTATCAAAATGTTTTACTTACTTCGACTCATATGTTTTCAGCCTCTATTTAACTTTTGTATGATTTTATCTTTTGCATTTCAGTCCATTATGGGAAATGATATCGGAGGGAATCGATATTAAGTCTATACAATGGACACAACATTGATTACATGTTCCACTTTATCAGAAGTTTGTCTGTACTACTAAAGACTTTCAGATTCTTTCGCTTTCTAATTGAAACTAAACTGTTGAAAAATGTCCAACTGATATTTGGATAATGAAACTTCAAGAGAAACTTTTTATTGCTTTGAATATTTCAAAATAAGTGACATTTATTCACATTTCTACATTAAAAATCATCTCTTATTTTAGTTAATTTCAAAGTATATATGTATGTATTAGCGTTGATGTTATTACTTTTTTGGGTTTTTTCACGGTATGAAGTGCTTTGATAGTGTGTTGGTGTTTCCATAAACACAGTAATCTACAGTTCCTTATTCACCAATCAGTGCAGGGTTTAATAATATTTCAACTCTTTTTTTGAAGCGATTGATACAGTTTGTAACTGGTTTTTGCCACTAAGTTAGTCATAAAAAGATGGGTAATACAAAATTGATCGTTTGTTTCAGGTGGAACTTCTAGTCATTGCTGGCGTATAACCACACTTATCAGCATTTCCATTTATTTTCTTAACCTTAAATTACCAGTCATAGTTTTCTTTTAGTTGATATTTTTCTGTAACTAAAATCGTCGCAAGAGAACATCGATCACCATAATAATTGGTTTAAAGATAACCTTTTTAATAATCCTTATTATTTCACATCAAACCACTTGGTGTTTGACAACTTCAAAGCATCCTGATAACGGCTGTAGGTCATGCGAAAATCCAAACTACTGAACTTAGGCCCTAGGTTTAATCCATAAGTATGTAATCAGTGTAGAAGTATAGCAAATGCCTTAAACCTTCATTCCATGAATATAAAAATAAGAATTAGAATCTTTTATATTCTTTGATAGTTGAAAGTAGGATAAGAATGCTGGTGATCAATTTGGTTTTTTTCAATCAGTTGGCTTTTCCTTTCGTCTGTTCAACACTGATGGTCTCTAATATGTTAGTAACATATGCACTGTGACAGTAGTGTCTATCATCTTACTTACTGAAACAACAAAAACTTAACGTTACTAACGAGGAAGTAGGTTAAATTACCTACTGAAAAGATATTAGTATTTTGGAAACAGTTATTATTGTCTTTAACTGCACCATTTGCAAATGATTAAACTATAGTAATGACAAAATATTTATAACTATTTATGGTAACTGTTCTGACCTAACAGCAAACCAACCATGGAGTGTGATGAACTTACCAATAAATGCTAGGAAATTAAAGTTGATATACGCTATTGATTATTCTTAATAAGTATTAAACTCAGTTTCTGGTTACTCATTGATCTTCCCAAGTTACCTGAAAATAATTATTTCAGTGTTTCGTTCCCTGAGTGTTGTGTAATTTTTGAAAGTTTTAAAAATTGAACAAATGTTTTCTATATAAATCTATGCACCATTTACTGTTCAACATTATTGATTTGAGTAAATCTGTAACTATGAGACGGTATACACTACCCATTATTAACGCTCAATACCAGAATTTCCGGGACTGTTTTATGATTTGCCAACCCGAATTTCAGATAATAAACTTCAGAATGGTTTGAAATAATGTCAACTTATAAATCATGAAGTAACTTGTTTTTTGTATATTGTAGAAATACTTCGCAAATTCCATGATCTAAATAAAATTTCCATTTATCTTATCAATGTTTAATTACACAGATGACACTTTAAAAGGTTTCTTAAAAATGTAATCACTGTATACTACAATTTTCAACGTTCATCTACCTACGACTGTTTCAGATTAACAAAATCTATTAACGAGCAGTAGTCCTAGACAGGAAAATCTGTAACTGACACTGGATTTCGGAGACAAAATGAGACATTCAAACGTTGGATCGTTATTCCTCACATTCATGCGATGATTTAACACATGCTGCTCAGGTAATCGGTTTATAACTTAGAAACTGATGAATCGTCATGATAAAAACTAACATCAAGTCGAATAGATTACCATTATGTAACCGTATAAACGATTTCTTTATAGTTGGAATTACTAGTTTCTATTATATATAGGTATAGAAATAAATTTTAGTTGAGTTCTCCATCAGCGGACGCTGAATAACCCAAATGTGAATATTCTGGAGGTATCAAATGCAATTTGATAATGGTTACCAAGAAACCTACATGTTATTTCCGAAATTCCGTGTAACCGTGTAACTACAAATATTGAACTACCTAAACGTTATAAGTCATCACTTATATTTCTAAATAGTCAGTCAGTCAGATGCAACGTAGAACTTTTTGTACATAAGTACATCAGTTCATGTTGCCATACCACATCAGCACAGAGAAGTAATCGTCAATTCAAATCCAATAGTAGAAGAGGTAGTAAGGGAATTAGAAGTAATCGGAGAGGTTAGGATTAGAAGATATTATTCAAGAAGTATGATTCAGTGAGAAAAGTTTAGAGAGTCGAAACTAGAGGGGTTGAAGAATCCAGAAGATTAGCATTTGAGAGAACTTGAAGAATAAATGCACCGGCGCCATTGCGAACGATTTTGAGCCTTGTCATTCAAGGTCTCTAACCATCGATTATTATCATCTCGCTGACCCCAACCAGGTTGTAGACAATTACCGACATGTCTAAGTCCACTCGTCAATGACTTCATGGATTTCTGCCATGTTTTGGTTTGGCCGCCCCTAACTTTCTTCCAACCTACTCCTACACTACAAAACAAAGTTCGTCGAGGCAGTCGGTGGTTAGGCATACGCAACACTGTCCCAACCACCTCAACTGATGAAGTTTCACCACTTCATCTATTGATCTGCCATTCTTACCTAGCACCCGTTTCCTAACGACAGAATTGCTTACTCGGTTGTCCCACGGTATACGAGCAATACTTCGAAGACACCTATGATCGAAAACCAGTAACCTACGAATATCTTCTACTCTCACTGGCCATGTTTCACAGCCATAAGGTAAGACGGAGCGAACTACTGCACAGTACACTCGTCCTTTGGTAAACAAACGGATATCTCGCCTACTCCATAAGTGACGCAGGTTGGCAAAAGCCAGTCGAGCTGTTTGTATCCGAGCTGAGATTTCGTCACAAACCAGGCCATCAGCACTGATGAGACTCCCAAGATAAGTGAAGCGGTTTACACGTTCGACTACTTCACTCCCTATCACTAGTTCAGGTGCCGATGCAACCCAGTCTTGAAGCAACATTTTGCATTTCGAGGGGGAAAACCGCATCCCGAACATGCTTGCATTGTTGCTTAGGGTGGTCAGAAGACTCTACATTTTGTCAGCGTCTTCACCAAGTAGGACAATGTCATCGGCATATTCTAAGTCAATAAGCGAGCCACCTGGTAGAAGGTCTACTCCGGAAAATTCAGACGAGGATAAGGTTATTTCTAGGAGCATCTCTGTGATAAAATTAAACAAGAATGGAGAAAGTGGACAGCCCTGACGGACACCACTTGATGTAGAGAATTCCGGTGATAGTTCGCCATAAGCCCTCACTCGACCAGTGGTGTTTGAGTAGAGTGCTTGTATAAGGTTAATGTACTTCTTTGGTACACCTTTCAACGACAGACAATGCCACAGAACCTCACTATCCACTGAGTCAAATGCCGCTTTTACACCCGGGAACACGACTATTGTCGGACGTCTAAATGTGTGTCTATGTTCCTGGACCTGTCGTAGTGTGAAGATGTGGTCTATACAACCACGTCCAGGTCGAAAACCAGACTGGTTTTCTCGAGTCTGCTCTTCACGAGCTTTCGTTAAGCGTCGAAGTATTATTGAGGCCAGTATTTTAGATACTATATTAGTTAGACTTATTCCCCTGTGATTGTCACAAGAGGAATTTCGTCCTTTCTTATAGATTGGGACAATCAGTGATTGAGACCAGTCAGATGGCATTGCGTCCGGTTCCCAGATTCTACCTAAGATCTCAGTCAACCTACCTGCTAAAACTGGCCCACCATCCTTAAATATCTCAGGAGTCAGTCTATCAGGACCTGCAGCTCGTCCTCGCTTCAGATTTCCTAACGCTTTCTCAACGTCATTAGGACTAGGGGGACTTAGGTCGATTTGACATTCAGGATGACTGGAGAACGTGGGTAACCGAAGAGTGGCTCGAAGCCAGTTGAACTGATCCCTAAAGTGTTCTGCCCATCGATCCAGTCTCCTGGATTGAGAATGGATAATAATCCTATCCTTTTCCGAAATAGTCTCACTCACATTCGGGTTCTTAATACCAGTTTCTTTAATAAGGCGGAAAAGTTGTCTACTGTTGCCTGTCGCTGCTGTCTTCTCCATCGCTTTTGCTTTCGCCACCCACCACTGTTCGCGGTCGTTACGCAGACTTTTTATAAGTCTGCGCGTAAGCTGACTACGCTCTTCATCATGCTCTGAGTCAGGTGGGATGCGTTTTCGAGGATCCATCACGGCTTCATCCTAGCCCCATGGTTTACCTTCCTAGCAGATATCACTGCTGTTTCCACAGCCATTTTGATATCATTCCAAGCTGGGATGAGAATCGCTTGAATGGTCGTCTAACTGTCTATCTAGTTGTTCCTGAAGTACATTCTTCACCCTATCATCATTAAGTAAAACCCTAAGAGGCTTTCTTACGGCGTCTTTCCTACGCCCAGTAAGCTTCAAACAGATACGAGCTCGCACTAGAGCATGATCTGAGTCTAAACAAGCGCTCCAGAATGAGAGATAGTCGACCATCGAACCTCTCCATCGGTGGCTGATTGCGATACAATTTAGTTGGGTCCAACGTTGATACGACTTTGTGGGTGGCCAGGTCAACAGATGCTTTTCATTATGCCTAAAGTTAGTGTTTGGTAAGAATAGGCAGTTGTCTGAGCATACTTGCAACAGACGGTCACCATTGTCTGTTCTCTGAGCCGCGACACCATAACATCCACCAATGTGTCTTTCCTTTTCACCTAGTCTACCTACTTGAGCGTCAAAATCACTAGCCATTATTACTATGTCAGAGTGCCTAACTTTTTGGAGGATATCCGAATGCTTTCTGTAAAACTCATCTTTAACCTCGTCTGAACTGCAGTCAGTGGGGGCATAGGCAGATATGACGTAGAGGCGACGGCGAGTGTCCCTATCTTTACGAGTCCTTACTGTCCCGTTCAGTCGGACAGCGCACAATCGACTATCTACTGGGATCCAGTCAAGGAGAGATTGTTCAGCTCTACGACTCAATGCTATGCCTACGCCAGCAAGACCCCGGGAAGCAGCATCAGGGCTTTCAGATACACGAAGAGTAAATCGAGCTGCTTCTTTATTTTGACAAGGTGAAATCAGATTAATAATTTTACTTGGATCCCGTATGCGCGTTTCCGAGATGCAGCATACATCGATGGCACGAGATTCTAAAGTCCTAGCTAAGAAAGCCTGTTGCCCTATTTGACAGAATGTCCGTACAATAAATGCTCCAACATGTAGTGTAGAACGAGGTTTCAAGAGACCAGGAATAGTTTTACGGGAACTCACATCGTTTGCATTAGCGGTGCAGTCAGATAAGAGAATGTGAGTAGA